AACATAAATTTTGCGAAATACGTCGAAATATTGGAGGAAGGACTCTTGCCACTTTATTCCTCGGGTGTCGTGGACAAGAACACAACGTTGTTCCAGGAAGATGGAGCACCGTGTCACACTACTAGAAACACCCAAAAGTGTCAGGAAGAAAATGGTATCCAGAAGTTGCCCTGGCCGAGCCATTCTCCTGACATGAACTCCATCGAAAACCTCTGGGCCATACTCGACCGGCAAGTCAAGAAACAACCAAAAAAACCAACTTCGAAGAGCGATCTATTCCAAGTTTTGAAGCAAGAGTGGACGAAAATCCCACAATTTAAAATTGACGAGATGATTCTCACGATGCCCCAAATGATCAACGAACTCCACGAAGCGAAAGGAAGATCTACTAGATATTAATTAAATTATAAATATATCAATTCATGTGAATATAACTGAAAAAAATCTTTTTTTTCTGAAAAGGTGGTGTCTATTTACTTGTGACCACGCTGTGTATATAGCAACATGATTAGTAATAAATATGTAACAACATGGATAGCGCCTTATTCTCAGAACATAAATGCATGACAACAGGAGTAACGTCTTATTCTCAGTAACTAAAATCTACAACTATTGTTACTTCCTTATTCTCAATACAGAAATATCTAATATTTCATCTCTATAATCATTCGGTAAAACGTTCGAATAAAAATAAACTATTTGATCTCTATGGTCTTCTTGTAAACTTTACTAATAGTTGAAACTATTTCAACTTTATGATCTTCTTGTGAATTTTACTAATAGTTTGAATCGTTTCATCTCTATAATCCCCTAGTTTTATCAGTACTATGTACTAGTTAGTTGAAACTATTTCAACTTTATATGCTTCGTCGTTGACGAGAAAGTTGTTAAGTTTAGTTTCCTGTTTTACAAAAAACACCACCCTTTTGGTGTTATGTTTCAATTATCGCCGAATTAAACCAAAAGTTTGTTCTTAATAATGAGTAATTCAATAAACAAAATATTGTTGCAGTGAGTGCACTGATACTTACAACATACAAATATATATGACGCACAAGTAGTACATACAGCAATAAGTAAAAAACAATCATACTATATATGTCAATCGTATAAGAATTTAGGCTTATGAGATAACCTACCGGGATTAAACTAGGCCGATTTTAGTGTATAATGCTAATACTAGTCTAACAACTGGAGAATCTAATTCGATCCTGTCTAGTAAATCATGAAGTTTTGAAATAACGAATATATATATATATATAATATGCAACATACTTGTACATATTAACGAACAAAGTTCGTCTTATAGTTAGATGCGCATACCATTTGAAATCTTTGCTTATACTAAGGACTTGAATTTCATGACCCCAGCGGCCAGCGCCACCTTGGTTTCCGTTTGGCGCGGCTTCGAGATTATCGATTTCTTACGAAGATTTTTTTTTTGAAATTCATCTACGCTGAATTCACCTATATATATATATATACACACGTATATATATATATATATATATATAT